GAAAATAAAGTTTAATGCAAAAAGTATTGGACATATTGAAACAAACCTCTGACTCGGTTTGCACAAGGTATTTTGGCCATGGAACAAAACTTTTATATGCATCCTCAACTAATTTGAATTCTCCAGTTTGATGGGGGTAGAAATGCAGTTTTTACAACCACTTCATCAATGGAAACTTTATAGCAATCATCTTGTAGAGGAACTCCATGAATGAATTGTCTTTCTGATGATAAGTGAATGGTATCGCGGGCAACGATGTTCCTTTTATACGGATATGATATACTACACTTGATTGGCTACAATGACAAGTAATGTTATAATCTGGAAAAAAAAACAGAAATGTATATTCATGATGTAAAAAAACACTGACCTGGTGAATGAGATTATTTGGTGAAACTTTTGGTATGTCATGATTGATAGTGGTAGTCTTAGACTCAACAGTTTTGTTGGTGGTTTTTGTATTTGCCTGATATCAAGATTTAAGACATATTTAAACATATATTTTAATAAAAAAGATTAAATAAAAGTATTGAAAACTGTAAAGTTAGTATATACTACTGTTGCAGATTTCATGGAAATCAATTTTGCATCGGGTGCTGCAGTTGCAGATTTCGTTTGAACAGGTTTTTTGTTGGGTTTTGGAATAACCTACATAATATAAAGTCCAACATGAAAAATCAGAAATCAGTACCAAACAAATATATATATATATATATATATATATATATATATATATATATATATATATATATATATATATATATATATATATATCAACGATGATCTAATAAGACGATAACATACTGGTGTTACAGGTTCTGAAGGTTCATTGGTTTTGAGACTAACAGGAGACGTTTCATTACTTTGTACAATCTTCTCACTTGAAATACCCTAGAAAATATAAAGAAACAGGAAAAATGTTTAAAAGAAATGCAATTTAGAACTAACATTGACAACATATATTTTCAATAAGATTACTTACAATTGTTTTGGAAAGTCAGCTCCTTTTGCATTAAGATGAGCCAAAACTAGCTTTAGTGTTTGATCTTGTTCATTAACCTTTGTAGACAAAGCCTTGAGTTCAACATCTTTTTTCTCAAGCTCAAGTTTTCCATTATGCAGTGCAACTTTAAGATCTTTAATTTCTTCCTTAGATGACCCTTTGCTGTGAGGAACATTGAAATATCTGTTGTAAGTGACTCCCGTGCCGACACCCTTTAAAAATCCGCCCTTTTCCTTGCCAAAAACTAAGGTCATGGCATCCGTTCCTGGTTCAACATTTGCTTGTCCTTCTTTTATTTGCTTCTCATGTTCCATCTACCAAACAAAAAATTAATAATTATTGTCTTAATAACAATGATTAAAATATTTAAAGTAAAAGAAAAAGAAAAGTGTAGTGAAGTTACTAGTTTATCAGCCATGGTTTTAACATCTTCATCCTTAAATTCTCCTTTACTTTCACGCCCTTTACACCACATAACTGACCTTGGGGGCATTTCCTCCTTCGAAATCACATTCTCTTCAATCTTGATAAAAAAAATTAAATTATAAAGAATATGAAACAAAAGCATGTTAAATAAAATGATATGAAGTTAATGTAGCTAATGACCAAGCTTACCAACTTCCTCCAAAGAGTTGTATACCCCCTCGTCCCATCCGATGAGCATACTTTGACATATTTCTCGCTTTGATAGTCCTTTGTGACACATTCTGTGAAATAAAAGTAACATATTTGTCACGAACGTTTATATCCCAGATTATGATAAATAAATGAATAAGTTTTGAAAAAAGATTTTAACATTAAATTCTTGAGATTGTGTATAAGTCACAAATTTGTTCCAATCATCTTGTTCAGTGATTAGTGCACGATAACGAAGTGGGATTTTTTCAAGCTTTTTGGGATTGCCTAGATGTGGTTTGATGTAATCTGCATACAACTTTCTTCTGAAATTCCGTAGAAGAATACCAAGTCTATTCATCACAAATTGTTTTCCATTTTCATGAACCTCAAAATAGCGCTAAAAAAACAATGAGAATGTTAGTATTTAAAACTTGATTTTTACATATATTATGTTATACAGATTAAAAAATTGAAGAAAATATTTACTGTTATCTCTTCCCATAGTATGTCCTTCATTTCCGGTTTAACTTTTTTCCAGCAAAGAGCACTTAATCCCACCTTCTCGCGGACAAGATCACCTAAATAGCTAACAAAGACTGCATTATTCTTCCCTGTAAACTTACCGAATTCATCAAACCTGACACGTTTTTTTTCCCACCAGAATTGACATATTCAGTCTTCAGTTTTGGCAATCGAGTCATGCCCCTCTTCCTATTTGACCTTGTAGGAACTGTTTTATGGATTTCTTCTTCCGAATCTGATTGGCTATTGTAGTGAATGTCTTTATTTTCACCATTCTCTGTATCCGAATCATATTCTTGGTTTCCATCATCTAGCTCATATTCTGTATTATAGTCAGGGATATCCTCATGTTGTTCCTTGTCAACCTCCATGATTCTTCTGTTGACAAAACAGATTGAAAATAAGTTTGATTGTTTATAAGTTTAATGATAATGTATGAACAAATAATATTACAGACAATTGCTCACATAAACATTTCATCGAACAGTTGGTGTGCAAGAAGCACACCAATATGAAGAATCAAAATTCTTTGTGTTATGCATGATCCGTGATCAATACAATCAATAACATTGAAACTATACGTACACAAACAATATACTTACACTAGAAAGCTTGATGAATGATGAACTGAAGTATGATCCTTTTGGGATATAACCTAACGCTAAACAAAACAATGGTGGAATAAATGACAGTCTATTAAATATTAAAATGATTTAACAGGTCCTAAATTGATGGAGGTTACCAAAAAATTACCGGAATTTCCTTCATCCGATGGATTGATCTTCATAGTTTTGGCGGTGCGATAGATGAAGATTTCCCGCTTTGATTTGGAGCCCAAAAACCATACAAAAAAATATTTGCCTCTCATTAGTTTTTGTTTAAATTCGTTTGACAGATTCAAATGTGTTTCAAATTTTGATCTCATAGTAATCCCACACGATTAGAAGAAAAAATCGTGGTTTGAAACATGTCCTGCCTTTTCAAAAATTAGTATGATTTATTTGGTAAGAATATAAATATTACATATTTGGTCCTTCTAACTTAACAATTTATTTTTTGGAAAAACATTTATGACTATTTGAAATAAAAAATATATAAAGTTAAAAAATAAAATATACAAGGGAAAAATATTATTATATAAAAAAAATAATAATATGGTCTAGTAGGCGTAATTATTTATAATAATAATTTATATGCCATAACTCCATAAACCAATGACTATCCTATGGTATTACACACTTACAACCCGTACATGACATAATGAGGTCCAAACCCACAACCAAGACCCATACATGACCTAAAGAGGTCCAAACCCACAACCAACACCCGTACATGACCTAATGAGGTCCAAACCCACAACCAACACCCATACATGACCTAAAGAGGTCCAAACCCACAACCAACACCCGTACATGACCTAATGAGGTCCAAACCCACAACCAACACCCATACATGACCAAATGAGGTCCAAACCCACAACCAACACTATGGACATGACCAAATGAGGTCCAAACCCACAACCAACACCCATACATGACCTAAAGAGGTCCAAACCCACAACCAACACTATGGACATGACCAAATGAGGTCCAAACCAACAACCAACACCCATACATGACCAAATGAGGTCCAAACCCACAACCAACACCCATACATGACCAAATTAGGTCCAAACCCACAACCAACACTATGGACATGACCAAATGAGGTCCAAACCCACAACCAACACCCATACATGACCTAAAGAGGTCCAAACCCACAACCAACACTATGGACATGACCAAATGAGGTCCAAACCCACAACCAACACCCATACATGACCTAAAGAGGTCCAAACCCACAACCAATACTATATACATGACCAAATGAGGTCCAAACCCACAACCAACACCCATACATAACCAAATGAGGTCCAAACCCACAACGAACCAAACCCACAACCAACACTATATACATGACCAAATGAGGTCCAAACCCACAACCAACACCCATACATGACCAAATGAGGTCCAAACCCACAACCAACACCCATACATGACCAAATGAGGTCCAAACCCACAACCAACACCCATACATGACAAATGAGGTCCAACCCCACAACCAACACTATGGACATGACCAAATGAGGTCCAAACCCACAACCAACACCCATACATGACCAAATGAGGTCCAAACCCACAACCAACACTATGGACATGACCAAATGAGGTCCAAACCCACAACCAACACCCATACATGACCTAAAGAGGTCCAAACCCACAACCAACACTATGGACATGACCAAATGAGGTCCAAACCCACAACCAACACCCATATATGACCTAAGAGGTCCAAACCCACAACCAACACCATATACATGACCAAATGAGGTCCAAACCCACAACCAACACCCATACATGACCAAATGAGGTCCAAACCCACAACCAACACCCATACATGATCAATTGAATTAAAAAATTCATTTTACATATTTATTAAAAATTTATATATAAATTTATTTATTTGTTTGATAAAAAACAATGCTAGTATGGATATTATATTTAATTAATATTGTAGATAGTTTTTTACATGAATATAATACATATTAATGTAAATACTAGATATATTAATGTGTAATACAAAAATGTGTAATCATTATCGTAGCCGAATAGCCGTCGTTCAAAATCCACCTCTGTAGACTGCAATTAATCGGAGAAGTGATGGCCTCAGTCGACGTCCCTTCACCTCCGACTGATGATCCTTATAAACCGTTCGCTTATGTCAATTTCGTCATTCTCACATATTCATTACGTTACGATAACTTCGATTACTCCTTCTTCCTCTTTGAAAAAAAATACGTCGATTTTCAGAAGAGAAGATGAATGCTGATCCGTGGGCCCGTCCGAACTTCAATCTCTGGAGTGTAAGCGCAGAACCACCAAAAAACAAACCGGTGGTTGAATACGGGAAGCCAAACGACAAACGATTCACCATTCGCGTTGTCCATGGTGGGTTCTTTACAGACTACCCAGGCAAGGCGTATCAACAGACCAAGGTTCACTTCATTTCTTATGTGAACATCGATTTGTTAGACATGGAGTTGCTTGGGCGTTTTTCTAGAAGCCTTGGGTATACCAGTTTGGGGAACTGGTATCATATGCCCATCGAAGAACAGAGTGGGTTGTCAATGGTTCCAATACTAAATGATGAATGTTTGGAACCATTCAAGACGTTAGTTAGGGCCACCAATTCAAAGAGATTGAACATCTCTATGTTGAACACAGGCCTGTGTTTGTTCCAAACAATTTCCCACACTTTTGATGAACTCTCCAGCCAAACGTGTTGAGAAGCTTATTCACATGTTTTAACAGAACATCCAATGGCTTCGGTTGATGATGAATAGCATACATCCAACATATGCTAAACATGAGAATTCCAAGAGAAAAAATGGAGGATGCTTATGGACATGGCGAAAGAAAATGTCATAGCATGGAAAAACATAGCCTAGGTGAACTATGTTGTAATCTTTTTTGTGATTAATATAGAGTGAATATGATACTCTACTTTTGTACTTAATATGAAACTCTTTTATTTAATGAATTGTTATATATTATGTCTATAGGTGATATTGTTTTGATTATATAGTAAGTCTACATTTGATGTTATATATTATGTCCCTGTTTTGATATATTATGTTGTGAAAAAGGCAATGTTGTTTGCTAACACAGGGGTATAACAGTCTATTACATGTTATATGCCCAAATTTGATGGTGTTTGCAATATAAATGTCTTAGGGGCAAAATCGGAATTAGTTGTTATTATGATTTTATATGTTAATTATATCCATGTTTTGCATAACTTGTAACTGAGTCATATTTGTCCCTGTTTTAGTTAATTTTTTATTAAGATAGCAATGTACTTTGAAACTTAGTTGTAACCTGTATTTATGCTAACACAGGGGTATAACAGTCCTTTATATATTATATGTCCAGATTTGATGTTGTTTTTAATATAATTGTCTTATGGGCAAAATGGTAATTAGTTATCATTCTATATTTTATATGTTAATTATGTCCATGTCTTGCATATTTGTCCCTGTTTTAGTTAATTTTTTATTAAGATGGCAATGTACTTTGAAACTTAGTTGTAACCTGTATTTATGCTAACACAGGGGTATAACAGTCCTTTATATATTATATGTCCAGATTTGATGTTGTTTTTAATATAATTCTTATGGGCAAAATGGTAATTAGTTATCATTCTATATTTATATGTTAATTATGTCCATGTCTTGCATATTTGTCCCTGTTTTAGTTAATTTTTTATTAAGATGGCAATGTAGTTTGAAACTTAGTTGTAACCTGTATTTATGCTAACACAGGGGTATAACAGTCATTTATATATTATATGTTTTATATGTTAATTAAGATTGTTATAGCAAGGGTATATCTGTCCATTAATTGTTATTATGATAAAACAAACAAAATTATATAATTTCCTGCTAACTGTGTTTGTATTAGATTAGTTTTAGTGGATTCCTTTCTCTTTTGGTTAATGTTTTTTTTTTCATAAAGCAATTATTTGCAAACAACCAGACACCTCACTTGGTAAGTGTCATACCCCACTTGGTAAGTGTCAATGTAGTTATTGGTATATTTTGGAATGTCATGGGTTCGAACCCAATTACCAACACTTTTTTTTTCTTTTTTTTAATGTCTCGATATGTCCCTGATCATCCACTTTTTTATCACTTCTCCACATGCCATTGATCATCCAGACTCATTGCGTAAATATCCCAAATTAGACAATATGAATTCCTATCGATTCAATCTCTGATAACTACAAAGGCACTGCAACTACGTTTATTCTTCAACCAGAAATTGATGCGTCAACATCAAATTCATACAGGTACAAATACTACATTTAATTAATACAGGAAATTACAAAACAATTACCCTCATAATATGAATATTTGTTATCTCGTTGGGTCATGATGTGTGTAATTATATTTTATTTTGAGTTAACAAGTTTTTTTCTTTCAAGATATTGGATTTATGAGTAATGTGATCTATTTTGTTTATGCACACCAACTGTTTGTTAAAATAGGTCAATAAACAGGAAACATATATTGCTTGTTGACGCTGTTGTAAGCTGAATATGGATAAGTCTTGGATGAGAGCATACAGAACATGAGAAACCTATGTAAAAGGTGTTGCAATATTTATCAAATATGCAGTGCACAATTACAAGATTTCTAAACATATGGATCCTGCAGATACCAAAAAAAAGATAAGAATTCCCTGTCCATGTGTTAAGTGTGTAAACCACATATCTCATTCGGTGGATGTGGTAGATGATCATCTATTCAGGAATGGAATTGATCAAACATACACAAATTGGAATAAGCATGGAGAAACAGAAGAACCACCAAGAAGTTATGTATATGAACATAATTTTGACATGGATACGTCAAACGATGTAGATTCCACGAACATGAACACATAAATGCCAACAGATGCTGCAGAAACAGTAGAGATGGTTGAAGCTGTAGAAGAAAATTTTATTGGGAACCCTGATAAGTTTAGAGAACTGATAGAGGATGCCGAGAAGCCCCTATACACAGGGTGTCATAATTTCACAAAGTTATCTGCAATCATTCAACTACTCAACTTGAAGAGTAAGTATGGAGTATCAGATAAGTGCTTTACAAAATTATTAGTTTTGATAAAAAACATGTTACCAGAAGGAAACGAAATGTACAGTAGTACATATGAGGCGAAAAAAGCATTTAAGGCAATGGGTTCAGGGTATACTAAGATACATGCATGTGTCAACAATTGTATACTTTACAGAAACGAATACACAGACTTGGCAGCATGTCCTACTTGTGGTAAATCAAGATGGAAGGTTGATGAACAAAAAAATAAAATTTACAACAATATTCCTGCAAAATGTTTGTGGTACTTTCCAATTATTCCGCGCTTCAAGCGTCTTTTTCAGTCTAAGACAACTGCAAAAGATTTAACATGGCACGCAACAGAAAGAAAGGTGGATGTTGGCGTTTTAAGTCACCCAACTGATTCACCAGCATGGGCTGCCATTGATGACAAATATCCTGATTTTGCTAGCGAACAAAGATATTTGCGACTAGGCATTTCGGCGGACGGGGTTGATGTGAACAGAGGAAATAGGAGTCATAGTGTTTGGCCTGTTTTAACTGTCATTTACAACCTTCCACCATGGTTGTGTATGAAGAGAAAGTTCATCATGCTTTCGTTATTGATTTCGGGAACACCAGGAAACGATATTGATGTGTTCCTAGCACCTTTTATTGATGATCTGCAATTATTATTTGACTTTGGAGTTGAAACATACGATGCATATGCACAAAAGCATTTTAAACTACGCGCAATTGTGTTTTGGACTATTAATGATTATCCTGCTTTAGGTACATTAAGTGGTTGCCCATACAGCGGTTTTCAAGGTTGTGTTGTGTGTGGTGAAGAGACACATTGCATTAGACTCCCTGAATCGAATAAGCAGATTTATGCTGGTCATAGAAGATTTCTACCGTATGATCACCCGTTCAGAAGACAAAAGAAGGCATTCAATGGACAACAAGAGTTCTCACCCTCTCTAGAACCTATGAATGGGGAGGAGATATATAACAGGGTAAAATTTATAATTAATAAATGGGGAAAGGTTAATAAGGGCAAAGGAGGCAGAAATCCAACAATCAACAAGTGGAAGAGGTGGGAAGATGAATAAAAAAAGAGAAAATCACACCAAGTGGGTATTTCAGATATGGGCCAGCAAAATAATACATACTGGAAGAAATTCAATATATGGTATAGACAACTAAGGTATTGGCCCGACAATTTGGTTCCACATTGTATAGATTTTATGCATGTGGAAAAGAACGTGGGTGAGAGTTTAACAGGAACTGTTTTGAACGTTCCCGGGAAGACGAAAGATGGTTATAAAGCTTGATTGGATTTGGTTCATTATGGTTTAAAACCAGAGCTGCATCCTCAGATAGAAGGGAACAACACAACACTTCCCGCAGCAGGTTGTGCATTGACAAAAGAGGAAAAAGACAAATTCTGTGACACTTTATACAACTTAAGGGTTCCTCAAGGGTATTGTTCTAATTTTTTTAGTTTGGTGAGTCCAAAGGATAGGAAGTTGATCGGACTAAAATCACATGACTATCACATGCTCATGCAACAATTTTTTCCCATAACAATTCGATCTATTATGCATCCACCCACCAGAGTTGCTATTAGAAGGTTTTGTTTCTTTTTCAAATCAATATGTAGCAAAGAAATCATAGTGGATGAGCTCGATAAGTTGCAAGAGGAGTTATGTGTAACCTTATGTCTTCTTGAGAAACACTTTCCACCATCATTTTTTGATGTGATGATTCATTTAACCGTTCATCTCACTAGGGAAGTAAAATTATGCGGTCCAATATTCTTTAGATGGATGTACCCATTCGAAAGGTTTATGAAGGTTATTAAGGGGCACGTGCGAAACAAAAATATAGCAGAAGGATGCATTGCAGAAGAGACAATTGAGTTTTTTAGTCAATTCCTTAAAAGGATGGATACTGTTGGTATTCCACCTGACAATCATAACAATTGTGGAATTCATAAAGGTGTAGATAGTAGCTCTATTACGGACGGTACTCCTCTATCAGCTGCTAAATCGGTAGAAGTTTCTGCAGAACTATTCAGCAAAGCACATTTATTTGTATTGCAAAATACATCTGAAGTACTCCCATATATCAAGTAAGGTTTTTTACATGTATGTTTTTTTTATAATAATATTAACATTAACGTATTGACAGACGACACATGGAATTTTTGGAACATCTACACCCTACTAAACGAAAGGCACATATAGAACAAGAGCATCGTAAAACATTTGGTCATTGGTTACGAAAGGAGGTATATTCTTGTCAAATATGTTGTGTTCTTTGTTATTTTTTCTTGATTTCTTAAATTCATAATCTAATTACAATTCAGGTAGAGAGAGAGAGTTAGGGGCCTGTAGAGAAAGTATAATCGAGACAATGAGATGGATTTCACATGGACCCAATAAGAACATTATTAAATACGATGTATATGCTATTAATGGATATACTTTTCGTACAAAAGCTCGTGAAGGTAAAGTTTACCAAAACAGTGGGGTTAGTGTTGTTGCAACTGACACACACATCACTAAAGAAGTTGTAACATATGCCAAAACACTTATTATGGTGTTTTACAAGAGATATGGGTACTAGATTATCATTTTAAAAGAATTCCAATTTTCATGTGTGACTGGGTTGACAATAGAAATGGG